TCTGTTGATCCGGATGAGAATTCTGGGGAGCTGCGGAAGGTTCGGGCCCAAACGCCTGCAGCTCCACCGCCTCCTTCCTGGTTCCTCTGCAGCTGAAGCTAACGATGCTAACAGGCTAGCTGCTGTCGGGTTAGCCGTTGGCAGCCCCGATAAACAGCCGAAGGTAAAAACAGGAAACCCGGAGGTCTACTGCTGTGTTACGGCCCATAAACATAAACCAAACGTTGTATCTACTGGGAAATTGTAGCAAAAAGCTCGGTTCTGGTCGCAGCGAAGTTCAACGGCTTCGAAACAGCGAGCTGACGCTAGCTGACGGTAACAGGCGGTCTGGCCAACTCACGCGAGACTTTGTGTGAGCGCAGCCTGAAACACAAACAGAGCGGGAAGAAAGAGACCGGAGACATTTTAGTGCCAAACACCCCGGAGGTCACAGAGCTAAATTAGTCTGATAAACAACAGTAAGGTCAAAAGAAGCAGAAACTAAAGTAAAATAGAGATAACCTTTATTGTCCTACAGAGGGGAAATTCAGCTTTAACAGCAGCATCAAAATATTTAGACAAAAGATTAAAAATGTGTTAAAAATATTAAGTGGGGTAAAATATTAAGATTAACAGTATTGTAAAAGATAATAAATGAAACAAAAAATGCCCTTAAGTTAACAGAAACAGAAAAAATATCCTGACGGGGTGACTTTTTTAAATGCTTAATGTGTGTATTGAACACTAAGAAGACAACTGGCTATTTACAGTACAATGTATCAGTACAAAGAAACAGATATTCAGTAACAGCAGAGATGTTATTTCAAACAAATAGCAAAAACAGAATAATGGGTTTTAAAAATGCCAACATGTAACCATGTATGTATTTATTGATTTTGTTGCAGTGATGATTAGTCTGACCGGATGAGAGGAAGGATCTCCTATAAATCTCTTTTGTGCGCCTGCGATGCAGCAGTCTGTTATTAAAGGTCAAAATAACTGAGACTCATTTAATATCAATTTAGTTCCATCCTGATTAAGGGAATAAACTTTTTGTTTTTCAAAAGCTCAGATCCAAAAACAAAAATCTAAACCAGCAGGAGTAACTATTTCATATTTATAAACTTTATGTAAGCTGTTTTCTACTGTTTTACTATACATTTCTGTTTTAACAGTGACAGAAACCTGCAGAGAGCTCAGAGATTCAGCTAAAATGATCCTGAAACTAATGACAGACCTGCAGGACGATGCCAGAAAAATCCACCAGCAACGTCTCCATCAGCTTCAACCTGCAACACACGGAAGATTCACCAGCCTGCGAATGTTTGTCAGTCAGTTTGGCTCATTTAGAAATTCATTTCTATCTACTTCCTAAAATCATTTCTGGTTATTTCATTTAAATTATTGATTAAAGACTTCATCTCTGACAGTGATACTGTTGGTACAATAATTAACTATAAAAATGTAATTATTGTTTCTGTTCAAGCAGACAGTAAAAGTTATTGACCTGCATCTCCATGGAAACATCCAATCAATGATTGATCTGCATCCTTTTCCTGCAGGTTTACAGTTTAAACCAGTGGTTTCCAAACATTTTCTGCGCCCCCCCCCCCCCACCCTATGGATTACAAATGGCTGTCTGGTTGAAACGATGAACGGCTTTTCTGACTTTTTTTAATCAGCTTTATTGCATTTATTAAGGTCTTCCTGCATGTCAGGAAGACCTTTATTTTGAATTATTTTGATTAAGCTTTTCATGTCAAGCTGAATCTGCTCTGAAAATCTGAGCTGATCACTGATGGAAGCTGCAGGAGCAGATCAGGTTTTCTGATCCTGACCTCCGATTATGGAAATAACCCTCCAAATGATTTTTCTGTTTCCTCTCCCTCTAAGCCCCGCCCACTCCTTCTTTTAAAGGGCCAGTATCATGTAAAATAAATAGGGTTAGGGTTCTTTCATGTTGGAGAAATCCTTTAATTTCCATGGCAACTATTCATCTGGGTGGCCCTAGCACCGCCTTCGAGGCACAGCTCCTCCCCCCTCAGCTCCTTCAGACTAGCCAGCAGCAATTAGCAAACAGCTGCTGAGCTCATAATAGAAACAGCTGCTCAGAGCTACGCTGGGAAAAACGTTAAAGTTTAATAGAGGAGCCATGTTGGGATGACTTCCTGGAGGCGGAGCTTCAATTTCAAGGAGTTAAATCAGGAAGTCAAATTTTTTTTAGGTCAGACTTAATATAAATAGCATTTTGTAACAACTGGAAGTATCATAGTCACTGGATTATAAAATAAAACATCTCTGTGTGCCTGGAAGACACATAATCCTGTTTCTTTAACTTTCCCCACATGGTGGCAGCTTTAGAGGAACTTCTGTCGCCCGATCGTCCCGCCTCGGCCCCCAGCTCCCCTTTGACCTTCTGCTGAAACATTTAACTCCTCCTGCTGTCCTCTGCAGCCAGTTGTTCATGCCGAGGTTAAAATTAACTGCAGCAGATCCTCCTTCCAGCACAATGGGAGGCCACATGCGGCTCTTATGAGGCGTTAATGCAGCGCAGCTCCAACCGGTGGAAATAAAGACACTGATGATCAGATCTCCTCCAGCTCTGGTTTCATCAGCCGCCACCGCAGCGTTTCTGAGGCTGCAAGGAGGAAAGTAAAGAAGAATCTGATTTATTTTGTCTGAAGTCTCTTCAATGCACAAAGAGGAAGACTCTGCTGGAAGGCAGGAGCCTGGGAGGAACAGTCTGGTTCCAGTGAAAAACTAAAGCAGTGACTTGGGTTATTTAGTCTGTCATAAGAGAAAACAATATGGTTTATTTATCACAGTGATATTCATTTACTTATAAATGTCAGGTTTCAAACTAAAAATGTAGTTAGCAAACTAAATACTTAGTTTGAAGTTAAATATTTATCTTGAAACTTGCTAACTTAATATTTAGGTGGAGCTAAATATTTAGCTTACTAATTAAATATTCATTTAGCAAGCTAAATAATTGTTAGCAGGCTAAATAAACTTGCTTGCGAAATATGTAGCTTGGAGCTACATGCTTCAAATTAAAGATTTTTCATGCTAACTAAATTTTTAGTTCAAAACGGCAACATTTCTGAATGAATGATTAACATGACAGGAAGTTTTGTCTGTGGCTGCTGAGCTGTTCAGAGCTGCAGCCTCTGAGGGAAACCTGAGCACGTTGAGCAACGTGTTGCTTTCTGGAAACGTTTTGAATGAAGCTGAGGCTTTTAGCTGTTTGCCTCCAAGCATTAAAACGTCTGCAGCGCCTGCTTTCTGAATGAGGTCAGAGGTCACCATGACCTCACCTGGAGGAGGAAGAGGAGTGAATCCTTCAGCTGCTGCAGCTTCATGAAACACAACCAAGAACCTGAAAGGAGAAAACATCACAAACCGCATCCAGTGTTAGGTCAGATCAGCGACTAAACCCGCTTTGTTATTTATGATAAACTGAATTTATTTATGGTGGATTGTTCTCTTCCAGCCGGTTTATCAGCGGCTCTGGACTGAATGGACTCTGAGGATTTATTGACTCGTATTCCTGAAAATCATGCAAATGTTTCCTGTCAGAGTGAAGATGGGATCAGCGGATTTCCATGAACGATGCAAACACAGCTCACTGTTAAACAGGAAGCAGCGTCTCCGGTTCTGGTCGGATCCGTTCATTTTTAGTTTTCAATTAAAAACACAAATTTCTTTGTCAGTGTTTCATTTTTGTAAATTAACGGTAGTAAAATAAGTTAACGTTGTTTGCTTCAGTAAAGAATCGTTTTCAGGTTCTGGACTTTTCAGGTCGAATGTTTTCGGTTCTGCTGTGGTTCTGTTGGTCTACAAACAAAATTATAAGTTCAGGAATAAAAACTAAAACATTTACTGCATCTATGTCTTAATAAATGCATTATAAAACTTTAAAACTTAAACTTCCGCAAACTTTGCTTTTTGTGTCAAAGCACTGCTGAACACTTATTAAAAATTTATTGATCCCAAAGAGAATTTAATTTAAATATTGCTGTAATTCATATTATTTCCTGTGAAGAGTTTTTGCTGCGGAACAGAAGGATCTCTCCTGTAGCAGTATGTATCACAGCGGTTCTGAAGAAGCTTCTGACTGAAGACGATCTGCGGTTCTATAACAGTTCTGGAGGATTTCTCTGTAGAAAAAACCCGTCAACATCCAAACAGGCTGGTGCTGCCACCTGCTGGAGGTTTCATTACACTACAGCTAAATAGCACGACTGTAAAACGATCTTTAATATTTAATCGGGGGAATGTTTTATAATCAGAGTGTGACGTCATCATGGAGGAGCCAATCAGCTGATCTGCTGCTGCCTTCAGGTTCTCCCTGTGGTCTGGGATTCTGAAACTTCTCCGGCTGGCTGAGTAAAACTGACCAGAACCTCTGATGTCACCCGACTTCTTTTCTGATTATCTGTGGAACCACCATTTTATTTCTATTGTCAGGTTTTAAAATAAAGAAAAGTTTGTTTCCAATCTGATGAAAATATCTGAAATTATATTTCTGATTTTTTCTGCTTCGCTCTGTTGTGGAAATTCAACTAATTTATTCCAGTAAAAACTGAAAACTGCTAAATCCGTCAGTAAGAATCATCATTAGCATCAGTTATTATTTGTTATTATAAAAATATTTAACACATCAGTTGATGAAGCTGCACCTGGTTCTGTGGTTCTGGTTCTGTCTGCTCTAAACTCTGATCCTGGTTCTGGTTCTGCTGGAGGTTCCTTCCTGTGTCCTCTCCACTGTCGCCCCGTGCATGATCGACCAGCTGGGTTTCCTGCTGACCATCAGAATAAGGAGCAGCTCTGCTTCAGAACCACCTGGAACATGATGACATCATCATGATGACGTCATAATGACGTGACGTGAGACCAGAAGCAGGCAGCTTTGCTCCGTTTCCTTAAACCTTTATTTGTCCTGAACAGGAAGCAGCCGCCAGTTTGACATTTACAGGAGCGGCTTAAATAACGACAAAATCACACACACTCGCGCGCACACACACACACACACACACACACAGTAGAACTGAAGAAGACAGGAACAACAGCAGAATAATAACAGGAGTCACTGTCGCTGCTCCAGGGTCAGATCAGGAGGGGCAAGCTGGCCAATCAGCTGCAGCCGTTCCGTCGGGTTTCGGCCAATCAGCTGCAGCCGTTTCATCGGGTTTCGGCCAATCAGCTGCAGCCGTTCCGTCTCGGCTGCAGCAGGAAGGAAAACCTCTCCGGGTTCAGCGCTGGAACAGGAAGTGACGCAAAGTTTTAAAGTTTCAGTTCCTCCATTTTTGGCACTCTGCTGGTCTGAGGGGCGTGGCCTACAGGCGGTCTCCATGGCGATTCACAGAACCTCTGCAGGTAGACAGCAGACAGGATAATGAGTTTGTTCACTTTTTCTTTCACCTGGTGAAAGCTGCGCTCTGATTGGCTACCTGCCACATGCTGCGGCTTCATGGCGCCCGCCTTCCTCAGGTAAGGCTCCGCCCCCTCAAAGGCACGGCGCTCCAGCTCGCCGTTGGCCGAGACGCCGTTCTGATGCGAAGCGGGCTGGACGCCGTTAACGGCCACAGGGCCGGTCAGGGGGGGGCAAGGGGCCGGGGGCCCGGGGCCCAGCAGGGGGGCAGCAGCTGCAGAGACATCATTTATTATTATTACTATTAATTATTCATAATTATACTTTTATTATTAATAAAATTATTTATTACTATTATTTATAAATTATTTTTTATTTTTGATCATTTATTATTATTGACTAATAATATTGATATACTATAATGAAAAAATTATTGTAAAATCCCTTTAGTTGAAGGTAAACTTCATAAATGTCGTAACAAAGTTCATATGTTTATAAAAACAACATATTTATAGAAACTATGCATTTTATGTATTTTATCAACATAGTGGAGAAAAGCTTCAGTTTATTTTTAAGCCGAAATACAGATGGCAGAAATAAATGCAGCTTTTTATTTTACTGTTTTTTAATAAATTTCCTATTTGACCTGAAACACCTAAAATGGCGTATAATATTTAATAAACATGTTTTATGACGTCAGCTTGAACATTTCACTGTTTTCTTGTTTAAGGTTTCAGCTGTAAAATTATTCAGTTGAAACTCGAATAACCTGAATATTTTTCTTTTTGTGTTTCTGATCTTTGCTGTGATATAAAAATAAACTCGTCTTGCCATATGTCACACTGATATATATATTTTTCACATATATATTTTTTATATAATGAATGTTTGTTTCTTTATGATCATGTTAGTAATATCTTATTTTGCTTCCATTACTTTTACTAAATAAAGTATTTCTCTGTATTTACTGCATTTTGTGTTTTTGGTTTATTTTAGTGAGTTTTTAAAAATCCAGGAAATGTAAGACTAAAGTTTTAGTTTTCAGTCAAACTATTGCTTATTGTGATTGATTGTGTTTCGTTTTTGGTCGTTTATTAATCATTTTTACTGTTTTTATTGTGGATTTAATCTAATCCTGAGAAGTGTTTACCAGTTTCTGTATCGTTTTGTTGCAGTTGGAGGTAAGATACTGTTTGCTTCCAGCTGCTGATCTTTACCAGGTTAATTTTGATTTGTTGAGTTCAGTTTTGTTTTTTTTGTTTCGGAAACCAAACAAGGAGGAATCTTCCTGCAACGCGGTGTCATGCAACGACCTTACCGTGACCTTTGTTGGGCTCGGAGCCGTTGACCTGCGGCGGCGCTCTGACGTCCTTCTGAGGACGGAACAACAGCAGCGTTGTGTTTTTACGCCTCAACAACAAGCGGCGACTCGGGGCGGATCACACCAACCTTTTCTCCGGCGTCGCTCCTGCGTGTCCGCTTCATGATCTCCTCCAGGCGCTGCCAACACCAGATCACATCAGCTCACCGCTCACAGCGCCGCGCCGTGACTACATGAACTTTCCCTCACCTTCTTCCTCTCCAGCCGCTCCTGCTCCTCCTTCAGGAAGTGCTTCTCCCTCTCCTCGCGCTGACGCTCCGCCTCCTCGCGGGCCTTGGCCTCTGCCTCGTCTCTCTGCAGGACAGAGACACAAACCAGAGGAGACGCTCTGACCAGCTCAACCTGCAGCAGACGCTGAGTCTGCCATGTTTTTACCCCCTGCAGCTCTGAGCTGAAGCTCAGAAACATAAACTCTGAAAAGTTCCCAAAAAAACCTGCTGAGATTAAATCCTTAATCAACACCTGATGCACCGGCGTCAGATTTTAGTGGTTGGAGGATTTCTCTTTAGTCTTTGGCTACACACGCTAGGCTAGCATGTTAGCTTTGGTTGCATTTTCCCAGAATGCCCTGCACTGTAGTTTACTTCCTGCTTTTGTAGTGGTCTCCGCTCCACTTGGCATTCACATTCAAACCAAACCAGAGTTCACTTCAACCGAACCCAGACCGAGGTTTGGAGGACCAGAGGTCAGAGGTCAACTAGCGTTCACATCTCACCAACCAAACCAGACTTTCTGGGCAAATGGACTGGAGTTGGATTAAAATGGAGAAATCAAACTCTGGTCCTCCGAGCCACGGCATTCTGGGTAAATACAACCAAAACCAACATGCTAGCCTAGCGCTAGCACAGGGTGAGCAACTGGTGTCCTGCAACCTTTAGATATGACCCTGCTTCAACACACCTGAGTCAAATAATGAGGTCATTAGCACGACCTGGAGAACCTGACTGCACTTAGGAGGAGAGTCAGCTGTTTGACTGAAGCAGGTTCAACCTGGGAGACATCCAAAAGTTGCAGGACCACGGCCTTGCCACATCCTGCGCTAGCAGCAGAAATGGCTCCTGGTCTTTAGCCAAAGACTAAAGAGAAATCCTCCAGCCACTAAAATCTGACGCCTCCATCTTGTTTCCATCTGGTGAAGAAGGAAGTTGCTCTCAGTGTCTTCAGGAGTTTTTGTGTAGTTTCCTTCAGTGGTTCTTGGTGGAAAACATCCTCCATTAGCTTTCAGAGCCAGCAGGGGGCAGCACCTCAGCAGTGACCCACCTGCCTCTGCAGCTTCTCGTTCTCCTCCTGCTCGGCCTTGGCCTTCCTCTGCGCCTCCTCCTCTTCCTCGGTGCGCTGAGCTTCATCCCGGAGGCGCTGCTGCTCCTCCATGAAGCGCGCCTCCTCTTCGCGTCGCCTCCTCTCCTCGGCATCGCGGGCCACCGCTTCCTCCCGCAGGAGTCTGAGGAGCAGAGAGCAGTTTCAGGCTAACGCTGGAATAAAACCTGATCTCCGGTCAGACCTGAGCCGCTCTGACAAGGCCGGCCCAAACCGCTCTGGGGCCCTGGGCAGATTTTCATCTGGGCCCCAACACAGCAAGTCACGTCTAGATGCTTCATTGTTACTGAGCTGCTGTATGTGTAGCAAAGCTGCTAGCATTAGCACCATTTGGAATTAGCTTACATTATATCAGTTGTCATAGTGACTGATTTTAACCATACAGGAGCAGCAAACGTTAAAAAAATATCTGGATTTGAAATGCAGAGTGTTAATGAAGTGTTTCATATTATTTTAACTATTTGTAGCATGAGCTGATAAACACTAAATGTAACATTAACATAGTTTTCCTTTCCTGTCCTAGTCAGTTTCCTGAAGCCAGGCATGAACGCCACCCAGGTCAGTCCAGACCTGCTGATGTCATCTTCTCTGCAATGATGTCATCCTCACCTGTTGCGGCGCTCCTGCTCCAGCCGTTCCTGCTCCTCCCGCTCCCGCTGCTCCCGGGCCTGACGCCGTTTCTCTGCCAGAGCGCGCGCCGCCTCCTCCGGGTCGTTGGTACCGGCCGACGGCTTGCTGGGCGGCGCCGCAGCCGGGGCGGACCCGGACCCGACGGCAGCAGCAGGCTGCGACGCTACGACGGGCGGGCTGAGGGACGGAGGCGTGAGCGGGGCGGAGGAAACCACGATGGCGGGAACGACGCTGCAGCCTGAGGAGAAACACAGGAAATGATGTCAGAGGAAAACTCCTCCTCTCTGCGAGCCTTTGGTCGGGTCCGTCTGAATCCTGTAAAAACACGGAAGGCTCTGAGCTCCCTGATTGGCTGTTCGCGGTCTGAGCCCATCTGCAGCCTGACACTGTAAACCCGAACCATCGACTGAATTCATTAGATTCAACGGCAGAAACTCAATATTCTCTAAAAATATTCTACAAACTTAAAAGTGTCGAGTTAGTGTAAAATATTTGTGTTTTTTAAGTCCATCCAACTCAAACTGTAGGTTTTATTTTCACACTGTTCTCTCTTAATGCTCTTTTCTTTAAAAAAAATATTTTGCAATTTTCAAAGAGGTAAGCTTTATAACCGTCATTTTTACTTTACGTTACGTTTTGTGCTTTGATTAAAGTCAGAATATTTTATTTTTCTGTTCTTAAAACAATGACAATAGAAACATTTTATTATTTTTTGAGTTTTGTTAAAAAAACTGAAGTCTTGAAAGATGAAAATGTTTGAGTTTATATATCTAAAAACTTTAAATGGTTGTTACTGAAATATTTTTAAAATGGAATAAAAATGTGAAAGTTTAATAAAAAAAATTAGATAAACTTGTGATTTTAAGTTTAGAAACTGAGTTTGAGTTCTGCTAACTTATCTGTGTTTACAATGTATATCGCCGTGGCAACCTACTGTTTTTCTCCTCCTCTCTGGTTTCCACGGTAATGGCGGCAACTGTCTGCGGCTGCACTCTGGCTGGCGTCTGGGCCCGTTTGGGGCGGGGCTTGGCGGTGACTGTGGGCGTCTTCTGGCCGGGGGGCGGCTTGGAGGCCGGCACCAGAGGGGACAGCGGGCGGCTCCTGGGGTCCGGAGAAGGGGGCCGGTTCCTGGCCCGGGGGGCGCTACGGAGCAGAGAGGAGGATGAAGGAAGACGTTCCAGATCCGGTCTGGACCTGGAGACGCTGGCGCTCGCTGATGATGTCATCTGTCTCTTCTTCTGCACTCTCTCCTTGGCGAGCGCGTTCTTCTCCTTCTCGTTCTCTCTCTCCTTGTCCTTCTTCTCCTTCTTCTTCTTATCCACCTGCAGGGGGCAGCAGCGCGCACAGAGAGGACGGATAAATTGACCCAGTAATTATTGTGATTAACAATAAATTTGGGTTTTTGAGACCATTTTCGATTCATATATTGATAAAGATTTAATAATGCAGGTTCAACCTCTCTAGTAAAATATGACTAATAAAATTTAACTTTGAAATAAACTCTTCACACTGAAAGAATTTTAAATATATCAAAAATAAAACAAGCAAAACTAATAAATTAAACTGAAATAAAAATCAAACATAAATAAAATAGATTATTAAATCTGTTAGCAAAAATGTCCTTCAAAAACTTAATAATCAGAATAGAAATTATTGATCTCAATCAATCATGAGATAAATTGATTAATAGCTTATTGGGACGGGTTAGATGTAAATGTGCACCGGTTTAATGGGGATTTGTGTGTCACCATAGCAACAGCCGTTCTGAATTAATTGCTCAGAAAGTTGCAGCTTCTAATTATTCAAGCAGCAGCTACAGGAACTTTCAACATTTCAGAAATGACCTCTGACCCCCGGCTCACCGGCGTGGAGTTGCGTCGCCGCTGCCTCTGCGTGATGTCCGGCGTGCTGGAGGACGAAACCCGCCAACGCTCAGCGGAGCTCTGGGGCTGCTGGGAGCCACTGGTGAACGGGCTGAGGGAGGCTGGGGGGGCAACGGGACGGTCAGACACACTGAGACACTGACACACTGAGACACACTGAGACACACACTGAGACAC